TCTCCTGTCACTTGAATAAGACTCAGTAACTTTCACAGTTATCATTTAAAAAGAAAAACGTTCTTTACTTTAGGCTAAGTTTGGAAAATATGGAGGACCTAATGTGCCATAACTAATAAATTAATAAATATGACTTTAAATAAGCCAAAGATAATATTATAACTAAATATAGGGATTAATTATGAAATAATTAAACCAATAATGTTTTCTTTATTTTACATTTACTTGTAAATTAATTGCCTGTGTTATTTACTTTCCTACTTAACTTCCCTGTTGTTTTTAGCATTGATTATACGGTATGTATTATACTGTCTGTTACTCCAAATGTTTCTACTCTTCATTGATATTTTACAGTACACTATTTATTTGGACATTGGTTCCTTTTTCACTCATTTTCAGTCCAGTCCTTGTGCCTGAAGGTTTTTGTTTGTTAAACCATTTAGCACTGACCTATGAATCAGTCAAGCATAGCAAAGGCTCCTAATTCAAGGGATGAACCAGTGTTTTTGTCTAGACATACAGTTAACTTAACAAAGAATCAATTTTAGATTGTATCTTTAGGCACTTTGTTACTAGCAGGCTTTCTTTAGAGTAATCTATGAAAAATACCAAAGATAAAACAATTTGGCATAAAATAGAATTACCAACAATGTAATTTGCAAAGAGCTATTGCCAAACATTTGGCATATCTCTGCATGGTGTGCAGTAGGTCCTTAAAAAAACTGAGGAAAAGTGGAGGACAAAAGAAGAAGTGTCAGGCCTAAAAAAATGATCTGAAGCACATCCTTAAGAAACAGGAAATAATCCAGCAAAGACCTGACACAGGAGATAAGAGATGCATCCGGACCTTCAGCGGATCATCTACTGAACACTGAAGTGTCATCAGAAATGGTCTTTGTGGAAGGGTGGCTGTCAAAATGCTTAAGGAAAGGAAACAGGGACAAAAAGCTGAGGAATGAAAATTACTCAAAAACTGGACTGAAAATCAGTAACAATAGGTCTAAATGAGTGATGAATCCAGATTGGTGTTTTAGATCTTGCAAAAAATTGATGAATTATGAACACAGAAAAGTGACATCAGATTTTGATCCACAATGCAAAAACATCTGGAACACATCTGATTAACAACAGCTTCATTTTTCAGCATGACAATGTTAGGATGCCTGGGTCGTTGA